TTTTGCTGATAAGCCAAATCGATTGGCTTTTTTGCCCACGTGACGGCTTGATTTTATTGACTGTGGTGGTGGAGGGTTATTGTAAAACGATTTACATTCCGATTCTACAATCTTAACCCAAAATAAACAATTTGTGAACGATTCTCCTATTGTACTTAGGACTCTTATCATGCACGAACTCAATATGATCCTCAATACCACTACCCAAAATAAAAATATACATAGTTGGCAACGTTTCTGGCAATGGCCCTTTATAATAGCAGATATATAGGCCAGAGAGAGAGCTTGAGTGAATAATATATGGAGATTGAGGTAGATACACCATAGGGCGCTGATACAAAAAGTGTAATTTCAAGAATGGTTCTAGTTGAACGGTCTTAAATTGGCACGAAGTTTTTTTTTATCATTGAGCACTTGTAGAAATATTTTTTTATCGAGTTCATGAACAACTTGTTTATGAAATGCCAAAGGAGATTAGCTTTTTCCGTTCGTGTGTTAGGATAAGTTGTAGATTGCATATCCCTTAGCTCTACCATGATGCTTAGTACATGCACTGAATATAATAATATCTACTAAGGAAAATAATGCAATTTGTCTGACGCTATAATTATAATAAAGAAATTATAATTTCTCTGGCGATGTGCACGATGGACTCCAAAGCTCCAGGCGATGAGATTAAGCGAAATGCGTCTTAAGATGTTAACTTCAATGTGTTCCAAATCAGCTACGTGGATCAGTGCTTGTGCCAAAGCATCAAACCGACCCGTTGATTGAAAGCAATAGCTAAATACTAATTTGTACTTACATAGCATATCTCCACATTTATTTAAGCAAACAAACTCAGGAATGATTTCGACCTTCTGGGTCTCATCAGTAGTTAAGTTTGTTGAAAATTTTCAATGTTCGATTTCTGAGAGCGCCACCTCTGTCCGATGCCCCGTTCGCTAAAAAAACATTGTACAAAATGCAACACTTATGGACCACAGCCCAGGTGCCACTTTTGCGCTTCGAATTGTAATATTAATTCCGATTCTTCTTTGGAACAGCCGATGTAGATACAGAGCAACAACTACAATTTCATCATGCAGGTGGTCAATTACGTTGTCGTTTTTACATCAATTTTATTTCTTAATGGACTGTTTACAGAACCTTAATATACCACGAATCACTAATGTATCCCGAGAACTTAACACATGAACACAATACTGTTTCGAGTCGGCAGGCGCAGTGTGAAATTCTGTATATACAATACGTGTATAACTGGTGCGACACACAGTGGCCTTGCTACTCTGGCCGATTAACCATAACAAGGCACAAGACTAATGGCCCATTGAATTAGGTCAAACGTCTAAGCCAGTAGTTTAGGACAATCCCGTAAATTGGTGTTCTTCATCTGCCATTGCCACTTCTGAAATTGGGACATTAGTACTCTTTTCCCGAGTATACACTTTGACAGCTTAATGGAGATGCTGGTTATTTTGCAACGTGTGCTTTTACGAGGTAGCTCCTGGGGAGCCGAGTCTGGAATTCTCTTCCATCTAAACTCTGTGTAGTTGAGGAGACTCAGCCCTTGTTCAAGTTAAGACTTAGTCGTTTTCATGTTCATGTACATATTTTTTTATTTTATATGTTACGCTTTGTCTTTCCTGTAAAAGGTCTGGAGATGCGGTTGCGTTTATATGCTCTGAAAATTGTAAATTATGTGGTAAAAATTATGTAAGAGCATGCGATTTGTATAGAATTTGTGTGTAATTTTCCAAAAATGTGTATTATTTTAATGACTATTTTGCTTGACTTAAAAAGCGTATATTGTTAAGCTACTAAATATATTCAGGATAACAGTACCAATGTCATAATCGGTATCAGGTGGTACTAAGGTAAAGGCGTACCATTATTTTGCACATGCCCAGATATTTCACCCTCACCATGCATACACACTTAATGTATTTTTTTATTACCCCATCTACGTATGTATTCCTATTTGTAAATAAATACTGTATTATCAATACATGTCACCTTTAACCGATATACAGAATATAATTCGTAAAGGCCACTCACTCATTATTAAATGTCTTCCTTTGGATATGTTGCTCTGACACATGTTCATACGTCTAACACTGTGCACAGCATTTACTGACAAATGCAGACCCTACATTGCACTGTACTATGTAAGTCACAATGAGCATCAAGACTTGCAGGACCACTTAAATTTAAGCTGACAATGGTACAATCTCTTACCATCAAGGCTGGCAAGTTAAAATTATCTGACACATTCTACACAGTATATAAAATACATGGCCTACAATACGTAGGCTACCTTGTGTTTATATAACACTCACAGTTAACAGGACAAGACAAATACTTGAAGCAGATCATAATACAGTATATATAACACGTTATATGAAGCTTTGAACGTTTTTCGTGTACAACATGTGATTTTATACGAATCACAGTGGTAACTTACCAGGTGCAAACCAGCACCTTTCAAGACATCGTCTTACAATATCTCAAGCCTCATCATCATGTTTGCGTGCACACAAACACTTGCCCTAGAGTCACCGAAGATCTGATACGTTATGGGACGAGATTCACACCTTGACAAAACGGCCAAACACATCGTCTGGGCGATTTACTCCATTACTGCCAGAGCAGATTTTGGTACTTTTTTTCTCTCGAAACATACAATAATGAACATTTGAACCTTATGGCCGGACCCCGGGGTCCCATAAGCCCCCGGCTCTCGCGTAAACATTATATTATAATGTAAACAAATACTTTGCTCTTTTTCACCAATGGGTTTGAAGGATGGTGGTAAGTGTTGTCTTGTTAAACTATGCCTTTAAAGCTGAAAACTACTTACCTGCAGTACCTCGATTTAAATACACTATCGAAAAAATAATTTACACCCCTCTGTCAATCATCGTGTTTCTCAGTGTGGATTTGTGAACACACTTTCTAAACAGTACATGAAATAGTACGCGTTTTCAATGCGCTGTTTATATTGTAACAAGCGTTTATACCGATGTTACTCTACAGAGTAGTGGGTCGCCGCTCCTCTTATCCGCATTGATATGAGCAGTATGTGGGGACTATGGCTTAACCCGCAAAAAAAACTATCTGCACAAATGTATACGGACAAGAGAAGTATTATCAAACAGGAGGAATTAACGGTGCAACGCATCTCATCTGTTAAATATCTGCAGGTAATAGGATTGTCATCGCTTGATCCTGGCTGCAGACATTGGTAGGTCACAAATAATAATGAAGATAAGAGAGCAGTTTCACTGTATTATGCATACCGTTATGACAAATACAGGACTTAAGTCGTGTAGGCAGTTTGAGCAGCTTTGGACTTGTTATGATCCTGCCCATATCCGAGCATGGAGTGCATTCGCTTGTTCAGCTCTTCTGCGCATTCGTCCTCACCGCTGCGCTTGGACACGACACGACAACAGAACGATTCGCGCCAGGTGGGTCGCGGCGTTTATGTGCACGGTGGGACGGAGTCGCCACAAATACATTTATGAATTACGATTTTGACTTCCGATTATTCGGGGCCCCGGGGTCCCGCCATACGGTTCATCTGTCAAAATGTGAATCTGGCCCATAGATTTTGATGAACAGCAAGCACGGTCGAATGACTCACACACGGTCCGTTGACAATTCTGCAGTTTTGATTACAAAATACATCTCATGTCTCACTTGATTGATTGATTGGCTGATAGCCATCGGCGTGCCATAGCTCCAGTTCAGACAGCCAGTGAGCGCCTCCTTGGGTTCTGTAATTACAGGTGACATGAGCAGGTGATCCTTGAATCAAGTGGAGTCATATTAAAGCGGAGGTGATGTCTCATGCACCAGTGAGTGCTGGGCTGTCACCGAACATTGGATGGCTGCACACATTTCTCGGCCGGAAAGTCTGCGGTGGAGCTTTAATGCCCACCTGAACTGTAGCCATCGCACGCCACCTCCTATTACACGCGGTCGGGGCAACTATCCAAACGACGCTGACAAAGTGTCACCGGTGCTGACGGCCGCTACGTGCGGCGGCTTTGCATCTTGCTCTCTGGCTTTCCCTCTCAGGCTCAGCTACGGGACAACTGCAACAAGTGTATCGAGAGGGTGTGTGACGTGTGATCTCCACGCTTCACCCCGCTTTCGGCCTGCGTGCGTTCGAAAGTGTCCCCGCTCCTATTTGTCTCCTCGCTGTTGGGAAGAGAAAGGGACGGATTTACTCCCACGGTCTTGAACGGCTGGAGACACACGGGCACGTGGTAACGATTTTTGAGTGCCCCTTGGGGACAGGTATGTACGTGTGTATGTTGAGCTTCTTTCGCACCGTACGTAGCCAACCGTGCTAATCGGAGGTTCAGGGGAAGGACAACAAACTAAACACACAAAAAGCAGTTCCATTGAGGGTCCGTGTTAAATAGCTACGTATGCGTAGCCCCATTAAGGCTGTTCATTGTGGGGGGCACAGCATTCCGTACAAAATGTTGGGAGCCTGGTGGTGGTGGTGATGGTGGGGAGCCACCTCCATTGTCCCCCCGTATTCCCACGCCCATGTCGACAAAGTTGTCCTACATATATTGTGGAGTATTCATGGACACTTTTGTGATGGTGCTGTGCGAGGAACGCTGCCGTACAAGTGGGGTCTTTGTGCACAAGTAAAAAAAAAGCCTCCCAACTTGTGAATCTGTTTAAGAGCCACTGCAGTCATCATGTCATACACGAGTACCTCATGACATAGCAGTGTAGCGGCGATACCGTTTTGCCTATGCTCACTTAAAATTCATCAAGGGGCATAATACGCATATGAATTAACGATCCATAAACAAATACATACATTAGTTCATTTATACTCCTGTTGAGAAAGTGTTGACGTGTCAACAAGAACTCTGCAGTATTCATAAGCACGTTAAGAAATATATACAGAGGACATAAACTTCGAATTTCCACCAGACGCCAGCAAACCAACACCAGTGCGGGCAGTGAGTGTATGACGTGTGGGTTTATATATCGAGAGAGAGGTGTGAGGTTATTGGCTCAGGGACAGTAAAGGTCTGCTCATGTCGACATTAACTGAATATTTACATTATCTCAATGCCCATTCTGTGTATTACTCTCCCATTCAATCTGGTCTCGTTGTAGGTGAAGGGAGTGCACGTGTACGTGCGCCTGCGGTTTGCGGGGCACGGATCTCACGCGTGCGCTACATGAGCCGACTCGGGCTACTTGATTAGTGAAAGAACGAGGACGGAACGCGTGGAGCCCTAGCACGTGCTGGTGGTGCCCTAGTACAGGATGGTGGTGCCCTAGTACGTGCTGGTGGTGCCCTAGCACGTGCTGGTGGTGCCCTAGTACAGGCTGGTGGTGCCCTAGCACGTGCTGGTGGTGCCCTAGTACAGGCTGGTGGTTCCCTAGTACGTGCTGGTGGTGCCCTAGCACGTGCTGGTGGTGCCCTAGCACGTGCTGGTGGTGCCCTAGCACGTGCTGGTGGTGCCCTAGCACGTGCTGGTGGTGCCCTAGTACAGGATGGTGGTGCCCTAGTACGGGCTGGTGGTGCCCTAGCACGTGCTGGTAGTGCCCTAGCACGTGCTGGTGGTGCCCTAGCACGTGCTGGTGGTGCCCTAGCACAGGATGGTGGTGCCCTAGTACGGACAGGTGGTGCCCTAGCACGTGCTGGTGGTGCCCTAGCACGTGCCTAGCATGTGCTGGTGGTGCCCTAGCACGTGCTGGTGGTGCCCTAGCACGTGCTGGTGGTGCCCTAGCACGTGCTGGTGGTGCCCTAGTACAGGATGGTGGTGCCCTAGTACGGGCTGGTGGTGCCCTAGCACGTGCTGGTAGTGCCCTAGCACGTGCTGGTGGTGCCCTAGCACGTGCTGGTGGTGCCCTAGTACAGGATGGTGGTGCCCTAGTACGGACAGGTGGTGCCCTAGCACGTGCTGGTGGTGCCCTAGCACGTGCCTAGCATGTGCTGGTGGTGCCCTAGCACGTGCTGGTGGTGCCCTAGCACGTGCTGGTGGTGCCCTAGCACGGGCTGGTGGTGCCCTAGTACAGGATGGTGGTGCCCTAGTACGGGCTGGTGGTGCCCTAGCACGTACTGGTAGTGCCCTAGCACGTGCTGGTGGTGCCCTAGCACGTGCTGGTGGTGCCCTAGTACAGGATTGTGGTGCCCTAGTACGGGCAGGTGGTGCCCTAGCACGTGCTGGTGGTGCCCTAGCACGTGCCTAGCACGTGCTGGTGGTGCCCTAGCACGTGCTGGTGGTGCCCTAGCACGTGCTGGTGGTGCCCTAGCACGTGCTGGTGGTGCCCTAGCACGTGCTGGTGGTGCCCTAGTACGGGCTGGTGGTGCACGTGTGCGTGGAGGAGAAATTCTCGAGCCGGATCCGCGTGCTCTTGGCCTTTAGCGAGGAGCTCACTGGCAGCTGACAGCTGAAGACCTGGCGGTAGGCCTTGCGGAAGTTCTCCGAGAGGAACGCGTAGATGATGGGATTGGCGCAGGAATTCCCGTACGAGAGGCAGTGGGACACGATGCGGAACGCGAAGGAGGCGCTTGTCAGCGGGAAGGAGCCGTAGAGGACCCACATGTGAATGACGTGGTGAGGCAGCCACGATATGCAGAACACGGCCACCACCACCAGCACCGTCTGCGCCGTCTGTGTAGCGAGAACAAGCAGCGGAGGCAGCAGTAGCGACGGTCAGAGGCAATGGTTAGCGACAGCGGCGGCAGCAGTAGCAATGGCCATATCAGTCGTAGCAGCAACAGCAGAAGCAGCAGCAGCGGCAGGAGCGGGAATGCGGGATTACATCCCTATCACTGAGACTGATTTCACACCGCAGGTCATACAAGTCTTGACGTTTACATTAACTATTTATGCCAACCAATATTGATTATGTAGGACCACGAGCCATAGTTTGATATAGCAGGCAGCCGAGATCACAATTTAAATGTAGCGAAAAGGTCAATTTCAGAAGTGTGGTAATATCACTGCATGAGGGTGCTTGGAAAGTTACGGTTACACACTAAATAATAAAAAGATTAAGAATGCCCCTCATTAAACCAGCAAGGCCTTACTGAGTAACAAGACTTGTTTGCATTGGAATGTTTGGCCAATTACTTCAATGAGTGTTTGGAACGTATTTATCTCAGGACGAGATAGAGCCGAGTAGAACAGCCACAGGCTTCCAAGCTTGCCATTGTGAGTTCAACTCCTGGTCAGGGTTGGCAGTCATTCAGCCCTCCATGGTCAGTGAATGAGCAACACGTGGTGAAAATCACCAGCTCCTGCCCTGTGGAGATTATCTTCCCCATCACAGAGATGTATAATTGACAATTCACCAGCTTCCGTTTGAGCAGAGATACATCTTGGATTTGCATTGTTAGAATATTTGCCTACAATAAATTGCTTAAGAGCCAATGCATAAGAATGTGTGAGAGAACCGTGGCTGATGTGATATTAAAAATAAACTGTCACATTTTCACACAAAGCTAATTTAACATGTAGAACTATGTGAGGCTGCGTGACGAATGCATTTTCTTTATAGAGCACATAGACATGAGAATGAAATTGCAATTAAGTTTAGTCTTTCAAAGGGCAGTCATAAAGTTTGACTCAGACGTTAAGCGCCTACCTCACGAATAGCATACAACTGTATGTAAAATAAATATATAATTGGATAGACGCAGCCATATGACCAAATCACCTGATTTCTCAGGGTCTCAAAAGATAAGGAAGGTTGAGCCTTGGTCAGTACTTGGATGGGAAGCCACTTGGACTTGCCAGGTGGCGTAGACATGGAACTGTCAGGTGACCAGGAGATAGCAGTGTTGAGTGTCACCCCGCTTGTATGTGCGGTCCAGACACTCCAGTTTCCTCCCACGTGAAGGGCAAATACCCATCAATGGAGTTGGGCAAACATCCCAATGTATGACTCTCAAACTCAGTGATACTTTCCTTCGTAAATAATTGACATGATGATTGCGATACTTTGTGTGCCTCCCAGATCTACGACCTACAGGAACAACTTTGCAGGTTAACTGAGCATTTCTGTGATGTATTGGGGAAAGGGAAACCCCTCAGCTCCGATAACATCATGGGGCAAGGTGGGGATGACCCTGCTGGGGCTGCTATGCCTCAAATATTGGAAGAAGTAGCCACCCCCTGTGAGTGGCTGGTTGAGGTGCCATCTGTTGAGGAAGTATGAAGGATGATCCAGAGTCTGAGACCAGGAAAATCACTGGGCAGAGATGATATCTCCCAAGCAAACTTCTGATGGAGGATGGCGTTTGTCTGCAGAAAAAACACTGGACGGGTTCCGCGGGATTATAAGGACACCCTAGTGGGCTCCCTCTTAAGAAGGGGAACCGTACTGATTGTAACAACTACCGGGGCATCTCCCTCCTCAGTGTGCCAGTAAAGGTCCTTGCAACGATTGTTCAATATCGATTTTCCAGGCACGCTGAGGAGAGGCTTGTGGAGCCCCAATGTGGTTTCAAGCTGGGGGTGGCACTGCACAGACGCCATATTCTCTGTCCGTCTGATTCAGCAGAGGTGTAAAGAATTTCAACAGGACCGACATCTCTGCTCTATTAACCTATGATACCATCAATAGGCCACGTCTCTGGGGTGATTAGCAGGTTCGTGAAGGACTCTACTGGGCAGTTGGAGGCCTTCTCCCTCCAACAACAGCGGAGGGCAGAGCAGCGGACACTCTCGAGCAGAGCACCGGGCGGATAAAATGCAGCAAGTTGGCAGAGTGGGGAGCACAAGTGGTGCACCTGCCAGTCACCTCAGTCAGACAGCCCAGGGCGCATGAGTCTCTCCTGTGACCGTCTGCTAGAGAGCCTTCAACACTTCACGTGACCTCAAAGTGCACCTAGCGTGGCACAAGCACCGTGGTGACGTCACCACCACTTAGTTGCGAATTGCGGTTGTTGTTGTTGTTGCCTCCCCTCGATCGAAAGCCTCAAATGAGTGTCTCTTGCGGTGTCCATTACATCACCTATAGAGAGACGAAGGTGCCCAGGTGTAGTTTTGGCCACCCACCCTCTCGTGTGTCTCCATAGGTGCTCGCTGATAGCACTTGCCCCACAAAAGGTCTGTTAGAGGCTATACGGGGCATCTTTGTTGATTAGTTAGTGGTTGTCAAAAACGTGTTTTGTTTTATTTTGGCCGATGGGGTTACATTGAATGCGTGCACGTTACACATCCAACTTTTAAACACACGCACGCGTGCCGATGCAAAGTCCGTTTTCACGTGCACAGGTCACCTTTTTCTTCGAGCGCTGTGACTTCTTGGATATGTTGCGAACCTTCCTCTGCAGGTGTGTCAGCACCTGCGGCGGGAATAATGGTGAGGGGTGCGGTCGTCGATAAATGGGAAACCATTTCATTCACTGGTGTGTTCGTGCACAGGGCCCTCCGTAGTAGGGGCGTGCGGGGCCCACGGAAACTCACACTCTGCCCCCCCACCCCCACCCCACCCCCATGCCTTCAAACTAAACCGAAAGTCTTACATCTGGCACCGTAACGTCGAAGCGCAGTCCCCCCCCCCAAAGCGCGGGGCCCCGGGCAGTCGCCCCGATTCGCCGTAACCCCTCGGGGACGGCTCTGGTCATGCACAGTCTTGGCACAAGCAATAGCGACAATGACGCAGATTGTCTCAGAGTCAATACGGAGCGGTTGTTGATGGTTGCGCTTAAAGACAGGTGTTCATGGCGAACGCGGTTAGTTTGTATTAATATAGATGTATTCATTCGTGATTGTGCATCGCGACCAATGCAGTCCTGTCTCAATGGAGTCATTTCCTTTAATTTGTGGTTATTCAACGCGGAATGCTCACATGGACACTGATTCTAATATAATGCACCGGCTGATCGTGTATACATTATGCAAGCATGCACGTAGGACATGTGCATTCATTATTTTTTTTGTATCAATCCACTGCTGGACGAGGAACATCCCCACGCCTGTGCAGGCCGTGAGGCATTATCTTGACCATACTTCACCACGCCGGTGGTGAATGTAAGCACGCTATGCGGCTCAATGGGTTTTAATGCACTGCCCTCTGTTGCCCCCGACGAAGGCACGCAAGGCGGATGGACAATACGAGCACTCTACAGCCACGAAAGCCTGCTTAGCTTCCGAGATGTCACAATGCCGGGCACATCGTAGGCACTCTGCTGTGTATGTGCACATTAAGATGAAGCTGCAAATGCATTTTTTTCTCTCTCTAGATTTCACCTTAATAAAGGACGAATAACAAATGAAACTGAACACACCCGTCACTTACACTGTCTCTACAGGATAACAATATCAAAGGTGGCGATTCGGGCACGGGCCCTTCTCTTTAGTAACATTTCCCTCGGTAAAGAGCCTCATAATCTCGACGAGCTTCTTATCTGTGTTGAACAAAGACGTTCAAAAATGCCATAAATATTCACGCGCGTGCGGGCACGTGTGTGTGTGTACACACATGCCCGTGCGTTAAGGTGCAATTAAATTCGTGTGGTTTTTTTCCATGCTCCAAATTTAAGCTACCAATGGCCCTCTCAGTGGATTATTTCCCAGCAGTGCAATTAAAAGCCACCGCATACACGAAAGTACTTCCAAATTAATCCAATTACGGACTTTAATAAACTAAAGACTGCACACGCCTCCGCCTTAATGAACTTCACGTGCAATCAATCCACGGGAATCGCTCCCACAAGGCTTTTGTGAGCACTTTGTTGGGTAATTTGGACGGATAATTTGCTTTTTCTCCCCTTTAATGTCAAGGAGCGCATGTTTTTCCTGTTGGAGTGCTCAACACAAGCCCACACAAAAGGTCAATTAAAGACGAAAAAAATATATACGGAAGGAAGACGACAAATCCATAGACGTCAGTCGTCAAACTTTTCCGCTTTTGCTAATGACGCCTTACCTGTGTGTGTGCGCGCCCGTGTGTTTTAAGGGTGCATTGTGAGTGAGCCCAGCGTGTTTCAGAAAGTAAATTTAGCCTACTAATGCTGACAGGAAGCGCGTTATCACCCCTTTGTTCAGATAGGGAGTGATGTATTAATGATTGTATCAATCGCCAAGGTGATTTACAAACACCACGGGTGGTGTTGTCAGAGATAGCGTAAAGCGGTGATCTCGGATAGGTTTTACGGCATTTCGGTTCATGTCAGCTATTCGATTCTTGCGTATGGCAATATGTTCAGGAGCTGATTGCCAAAGTTGATCTCTGATTGCCATGCCGCTGCTATGCAGCCTACGAAATGCATTACGTCCATAATCTGCATAATTGTCTTGCGAAACCGCAGAATCGCTATGCAGCTATAAAGGGTAGTGAACGAGGAGTGACTGAAGCGATATCACGTACGATTGACCTAGAGTACTGCGATTGTTTGATTTGGGTATATGGCAGCATTTCACGATGGCCAACTCTTGCGAACAACACCACAGGTTCTTTAATTTTCACACAAAAATTTTTTTTTATGCTGAAATAATCGCTCTGCATCCGGGATCGAACCCACCCACCCACCCACCCCCTCCCCCCTCCCCCCTCCCCCCTCCCCCCTCCTTAGGCTGAGCAGCGAGCGCGAAGAACACGAACCCAGCAATCAGTCGAAGCCACAACATTCATACACAATATAAACTATCTCCTTCCATATATCGATATAAGCTATACAAATATGTATATGCGTATCTCTACTCCCCCCACTTCGGGCGCGCGACTCACGCTGATGTAGCAGCAGGAGATGAGCAGCAGAGGCAGCAGGTAGCCGAAGATGAAGATTCCCGTGATGTAGGCTCGCCTCTTGGACGCCTCCGCCTCCCAGCAGAAGAACTGGCCCGGGTGCGAGTAGTTTACTCCGTCCACCAGCATCCGGTTTTGGGCGCAGGGGATCGCGGCCACCACGGACAGCGCCCAGATCACGGCCACGCCGGCGAGCGCGTTCCGCGTGGTTCTCAGCACGGGCGACCGGTGCGAGTGGACCACGGCGATGTAGCGCTCCACCGACATCGCGGCCAGCGTGAAGATGCTCACGAGCATGAACACGGTGACGAAGTAGTGCACGGCCTTGCAGAGGAAGGCGCCGAACACCCACGTGGGAAGCACGTAGATTGTCGACTGGAAGGGCACGCACACCATCAGGAAGGTGAGGTCGGCCACGCTCAGGTTGAGGATGAACGTGTTGGTCGTGTTGCGCTGCACCCGCCGCGACTTTCGGCACAGCAGCACCACCAGCACCAGGGTGTTGCCCAGCACGCCCAGCAGAAAGATGACGCCGAAGACCGCCGGCACGATGATTCCGGTCGGGTCCATTCCTTCGTCGTCGCCGCTTTCCTGCTGCTGCTCCTGGTGGTGGTGGTGGTGATGCCCCGGCCCGAGCGAGCCGGTGACATTGCCATCGCCGCCCGCGCTTGAGTTGGTGACATTTCCTCGCGCGTTCTCCATCGTTCCCGCGAACGAACGCAAATGAGAGCGAGCGAGAGAGAGCGAGCAGCGAGGAGTACACGACGTCGAGGAGGAGAGGGGACAGGGAATGAACAACGCCACTGTGCGTCCTATATCTGCGCGCAACCGTCGATGAATCCCGCTCCGCTATCACGCGCCGGTCTTCAAAAAAAGGCGCATTTTCGGTCGTGCGCTCAGCGCATTCTCTCGAGGAGAGCACGCCGGATGATGAAGCATCTACTCCGATTTGCTGTGAGGGGGGTCAAGCGGTGTTCACGCGTGTGCTCGCGGGCTGCTTGCTCACTGGCGGTGGTAACACGCGGTCGCGGCGCCCTATGAGCAGCTGCTGCTGCTGCTGTACGGTCACGTACGAGAGACTGAGACTCGCCCGCTCGAAAGTCGCCACCGCTACTGATCGATGCAGCGGAGAGCAGAGACGAGCGGACGGGAGTGCGTCACGCGAGAGCGCGCAAACACCGACCTCTCTATCCTTTCCCTCTCCCCTCCTCGTCGCTCTACCCTCGCTATCGCTCTCTCTCTCTGTGTGTGTGTTCACGGCAGCCCCTGCCTGACACCTGTGCGCTGCGATGAAGCGAGGATTTTTTCTCGCTACGAGCGCTGGCGCGCGTTCCCAGAAGCCCTGCGGGAGCAGAGGCGGCGGCGTGGCGCTCCGCGGACAAGTTGCGAGGAAGGAGGAGGAGAAGAGCGCATCGGAATATCTCGTGCCGAGCGCGCCGAGCCGACAAGTGGCTTCGTGCGCGTGCGTGAGTGACAACTATAAAGAGATGGACTGCCTGGGACAGGATGGAGGGGGTGCGTGGAGGGAGCGAATCAGAGAGGGGGGGAGGGGGCGGGATACAATTAACGCGTGAAAAGGCGCCAGCGATCCAGGGAAGGAAAATGTGCCTGCACCAAGCACGTGTTTTGGTGATGCGCCTGTGCAGCCGACTCAATGGACAGTTGTGTCCGACCCTTGTCCAGTAACAGCTTGCCCGGTGACAGCTTGCCCGGTGACAGCTTGTCCAGTAACAGCTTGCCCGGTGACAGCTTGCCCGGTGACAGCGTGCCCGGTAACAGCTTGCCAGGTGACAGCTTGCCCGGTAACACCTTGCCCGGTGACAGCTTGTCCAGTAACAGCTTGCCCGGTAACAGCTTGCCCGGTGACAGCTTGCCCGGTGACAGCTTGCCCGGTTACAGCTTGTCCAGTAACAGCTTGCCCGGTAACAGCTTGCCCGGTGACAGCTTGCCCAGTGACAGCTTGCCCGGTGACAGCTTGCCCGGTGACAGCGTGCCCGGTAACAGCTTGCCCGGTGACAGCTTGCACGGTGACAGCTTGCCCGGTGACAGCTTGCCCTGTAACAGCTTGCCCGGTGACAGCGTGCCCGGTAACAGCTTGCCAGGTGACAGCTTGCCCGGTAACACCTTGCCAGGTGACAGCTTGTCCGGTAACACCTTGCCAGGAAACAGTTTGCCCGGTAACAGCGTGCCCGGTAAAAGCTTGCCCAGTAACAGCGTGCCCGGTAACAGCGTGCCCGGTAACAGCGTGCCCGGTAACAGCGTGCCCGGTAACAGCGTGCCCGGTAACACCTTGCCCGGTAACAGCGTGCCCGGTAACAGCGTGCCCGGTAACAGCTTGCCCAGTAACAGCTTGCCCGGTGACAGCTTGCCCGGTAACAGTTTTCCCGGTAACAGCTTGCCCGGTAACAGCGTGCCCGGTAACAGCTTGCCCAGTAACAGCGTGCCCGGTAACAGCTTGCCCCGTAACAGCGTGCCCGGTGACAGCTTGCCCGGTAACACCGTGCCCGGTAACAGCTTGCCCGGTAACAGCGTGCCCGGTGACAGCTTGCCCGGTAACAGCGTGCCTGGTAACAGCTTGCCCGGTAACAGCGTGCCCGGTGACAGCTTGCCCGGTGACAGCTTGCCCGGTAACAGCTTGCCCGGTGGCAGCTTGCCCGGTGACAGCATGCCCGGTAACAGCTTGCCCGGTAACAGCTTGCCCGGTGACAGCTTGCCCGGTGACAGCTTGCCCTGTAACAGCTTGCCCGGTGACAGCGTGCCCGGTAACAGCTTGCCAGGTGACAGCTTGCCCGGTAACACCTTGCCAGGTGACAGCTTGTCCGGTAACACCTTGCCAGGAAACAGTTTGCCCGGTAACAGCGTGCCCGGTAAAAGCTTGCCCAGTAACAGCGTGCCCGGTAACAGCGTGCCCGGTAACAGCGTGCCCGGTAACAGCGTGCCCGGTAACACCTTGCCCGGTAACAGCGTGCCCGGTAACAGCGTGCCCGGTAACAGCTTGCCCAGTAACAGCTTGCCCGGTGACAGCTTGCCCGGTAACAGTTTTCCCGGTAACAGCTTGCCCGGTAACAGCGTGCCCGGTAACAGCTTGCCCAGTAACAGCGTGCCCGGTAACAGCTTGCCCCGTAACAGCGTGCCCGGTGACAGCTTGCCCGGTAACACCGTGCCCGGTAACAGCTTGCCCGGTAACAGCGTGCCCGGTGACAGCTTGCCCGGTAACAGCGTGCCTGGTAACAGCTTGCCCGGTAACAGCGTGCCCGGTGACAGCTTGCCCGGTGACAGCTTGCCCGGTAACAGCTTGCCCGGTGGCAGCTTGCCCGGTGACAGCTTGCCCGGTAACAGCTTGCCCGGTGACAGCTTGCCCGGTGACAGCGTGCCTAGTGACAGCTTGCCTGGTAACAGCTTGCCCGGTGACAGCGTGCCCGATGACAGCTTGCCCGGTGACAGCTTGCCCGGTGACAGCTTGCCCAGTGACAGCGTGCCTGTGACAGCTTGCCTGGTAACAGCGTGCCTGGTGACAGCTTGCCCGGTAACAGCGTGCCTGGTGACAGCTTGCCCGGTGACAGCTTGCCCGGTAACAGCTTGCCTGGTAACAGCTTGCCCGGTGACAGCGTGCCCGGTGACAGCTTGCCCGGTGACAGCTTGCCCGGTGATAGCTTGCCCGGTGACAGCTTGCCCGGTAACAGCGTGCCTGGTGACAGCTTGCCCGGTGACAGCTTGCCCGGTAACAGCTTGCCTGGTAACAGCTTGCCCCGTAACAGCTTGCCCGGTAACAGCTTGCCCGGTGATAGCTTGCCCGGTAACAGCTTGCCCGGTGATAGCGTGCCTGGTGACAGCTTGCCCGGTAACAGCACATCCCACACTCCCTATGAAGGGCCTGCGAGGTGACCATAAGATGGCAGTGAAGCAATGGATTCTAATTATTATCATCATTCTTATTATCATTATTAGCATTATTAGCATTCTTATTATCATTATTATCATCATTCTTATCATTGTTATTATCATTATTATCATTCATATTATCATTATTATCATTATTGTCATTATTATTATCATACGTATTATTATCATTATTATCATAATTATCATTATTATTATCATTAGCATTATTAACATCGGTATTATTATTATCATCATAAGTATTATCATTATTATAATTATAATCATTATCATTCTTATCATCATAATTATCATTATTATCATGATTATTATTATCATCATTATCAATATTATTATCATTATCATTATTACCATCCTTATTACCATCCTTATTATCATTATTATCGTCATTATTAGCATTATTATCATTATTATCATTCTTATTATTATCATCATTATTATTATTAGCATTCTTATTATTATCATTCTTATCATTCTTATTATCATTGTCATTATTATCATCATTATTATTATCATTCTTCTTATTATCAATATTATTATTGAATCTGTCTGTGTGGTGGTTCGAGGGCTATCCTCTCGCGATGCGCGGTGGGTGTTCCTCAGGATACCCAATTTCCCTCCCACACGAAGGCAAACTCTCATTCAAACGGAATTGGGCCAACATCCCAATGTAGCAAGACCCACCATGAAACAAATGCGTTTTCCTAAGGTAAATATTACCTTGCTCGACCAAATCAGAGACGTCGGTCACGTGAAAGACGTCGCATTATTCGATGGACAACTCACTAACGTTGCCCCACATGCACACAAACACAACATAATTTCTGTACCACAGCTCTGGACACCTGCCGTCGGCATCGTTTCATCAACGTGAAGCCCACTGGTGGTGCATGCCCATTGCTGGAGACGACATTCATTTAGCACCACTGCAAAGGATACTATTAGCTTATTGGCACAAAAAGCAAAGACCAAGATCCCCCATATAGCCTTAACAGACTGTAGGGGGCAAGTGCTGTTAGCGAGCACCTATGAAGGCCGGAACGGTACACGAGGGGGTGGGTGGCCAGCACCACGCCCGACCGCCTTTGTCTCCCTAGTGACAATGTTTACACACCGCACCAGGTACTAATTTGAGGCTGAGTCGACCTAGGGGAGGCCCGGGACCGGTTCAGATAATCGTCACTGGTGTTGGCCGTGAGCGGGAATCGAACCCATGTCGCCAGGTTCATAGCGCAGCGCGCTAACCGCTACACCACCGTTTTATTTATTGGCACATGACACGGTGTAACAAAGTGCATTGGCAACTTATACAAGTATGTAAATGCTCTACGAACAAAGACGGTCACCGCATCGCGCGCTTTCAGAGGCGCTTCTGCGGCCGTCTGGAACGCTCTTTGGTCTGATATTAGGAAGCCCCTGGAGCAATGCACTTTTGAATCTAGATTGAAAACACATTCTTCAGAAGAGCTTTTTGCGTTTAGTTTGCTGTCCTTCCCCCGCACCTCCGATGAGCACGGTTGGCTACGTACGGTGCGAAAGAAGTTCAACATACGTACATACAAGGACACGCATTTCTTGCTGGTGCCTTTTTTACCAATGGAAGAATCGCCGCTGGCGAACGCCTCTTGAAGAGGGCAGCTCCGCACACGAGAGGATTGTGTGGCCATGATTACGTCCAGCCGCCTGTATCTCTCCCGTGCTGACGTTTACACGCATGAGTTCGCACTCGTAGATGCTCGGGACCGATTCAAATACTTTGGCCACCGATTTTCGGAGTGGTTGGGAATCGAATTCAAGTCGATCGCTGCTCAACACAAATACATTCGCACATTCACACCGATTGGCTCCAAGTGGTCATCGGCATTGCCAGGCAGCCACCAGTGGACTATTGTAACAACAGTTTTCTTGGTTTTAATAAAATGTTATTTCAATGAATTATTAATGCATTTAATATCGTTTTATTTAACCTGCATTTATTATAATATTCAAACGTGTGTGCTGTTCACGAGTGCTTTTAGCATAATAATAACAAAAAAACAATTACACTTTGCGACAGTGAAAATTTCCTCTGGCGAGGGAACGCAATAAAATCATACAATCTGGCAACCTCTTACCTCTCTCTGTCGTGTCTGTGTCCTCAAATACGTCGGCAGTGAAGGCCTTCTATTTCGCAGTGTCCATGTTATTAACCTATAAGGCTTTAAAAGGGCCCACCCCACATTACTTGCAGTAACTAACACATTTATATATTCCATCAAGGTCCTTAATATCTTCTGATCTCCAACTGCTCAGCACTCACACGTCTAGGTTGCGCTCTTTTTGGTGACCGTGCTTTTGTTAGCGTGGCACCCACGCTCTGGAACGCCTTGCCACTTGAAATCAGGGCAATCAGAGTCGGTAGATATATTTCATTCTGCTTTGAAAACCCATCTCTTTAAAGTGGCCTCCGATCTCTTCAGTTTGGTCGGTTGCCCTCACCGGTTTCTGTTTTTGTTTCCTGCGTTGCGCATTGGGATCCTAGGATGGAGCGCGCATTATACATTTGAATTAATTTTTATTTACTCAAGAACCTTGCATTAGAGACTCCCATGTGCATACAGTTGTTA